GAGCTGGCTCGGGAAGAGGAGCTGGCTCGGGAAGAGCTGGCTCTCCTATACCTTCTCGCCACGATCGACGCTTTTCTACGATGTTTGGACGCCTGTGTGAAAGCTATTGGAGATCTGTTTGAAAAAAGAATAGTTTCTATAAGTTGTTATGAGAAAATAAAAGTTATTTTTAAGAAAAATCTTTGCCCTTTTGAGTTGCTTTTTATACAGAGACTTTTTTATATGTAACGGTAATTTTGACCCACCCTGTAAATAGTTTTTGTATCAATCGACAGAGAAAGACTTCGCGCACATCCAATCATACCAAGAATATTTAAATTTTATAGCTCAACACCAAGAAATTTGAGCTCAAAGTTGGATTGCCAATGGCAAAAGGGCAGGGCGCGTATCAAATGTCCCACAATCTTCTAAATTCACCAAAATTCACAAGTAGAACAGTACTAGTTTCTAATTACCGGGCAAACCAACGTTTAGAACCAACGTCTCGGAGAAAAGTTATGATTCAAGAAACTAATCGCACTAAAGCACTCTTTCAAATAAGATAATCGTCTTCTAAAAGGTCGATGATTTGAAGAATTCTCTAGAAAACTCTCGAATCATCCGCAATTCACGCGATCTCATCGAACATTCATCCACATCTCGAATCGAAGCATCGAACACAGAACATATGATCACGAAGCTTACTATTTTTGGTAAAAGATTTGCGGATGACAATGTAGATGTAGAAATGTTATGTAGATGTAGAAATGTAGAAATGTTATGTCCTCTTTTAGGAAACAACTTCTCCCGACGATCGCTCGGTTCAATGTAAATTCAGTTTTCTTTTTAAAATTCAACATTTTTAGCTTAATCTACCAAAAGATCAAAAGAACTGAAAAGACAAAAAGATCGATGACTCTTGTGAGATTGCATTTTTCTATCTTTTTTCTATCTGTGCCGACTAATAAAATGTAAATACAACCAAATCACAGGATTACGGTAACTTCGAGCGCCTTTTAACCACCATTCGATCCCATTTAAGTGATGGTAGCTTTTGGTTAAATGACATAAAGCTACCGTAGCCCGATCCACTAATGAAAGCTTAAATGCAAATTTCTGTAGTTAAATTAGAGCAGAGGGATTACGGTGGCGCCTTTTAGCCATGATTCACTTTTTAGATTACCATTTGATTTATCAAAGCTACCGTAATTGAATTGATGTTAAAATGAAATGCAAATTTCTCTTTGCTTACAGGCATAGGAATTTCGGAATATTATTGCACAAATACAAAATTGTTATGCGAATTCGGCTGAGACTTTATTCATGCAAAAACACGATCATTTTGTTGATCATTTTGTTGATCCTTGCAACAAAAACGACAACCTTTTACTGACTTTCTCAACTCAAACTCCCCCCTAAAATTGTTGTTCGAAATGACTCTCAGCTCAAGTGATTTCTTTCTTTTTCTTTTCAGCTAATTCCTTTTCATTTCCCTTCACTCGTTCCAGTTCGATCAACCCTTCTCACAAATGAATTGTCTTTTAGCTTTGAAAAAAAAAGCGAAAAATTCGAGCCCGTTATTTTTGTCTCGAACAGGTCGAAGTAAAAACTCAAATAAACAAGAAATGGGAAATTTCTTACTAGGGAGAAACTCATTCTTTTCATTTCTTTTTTGAATATTTTGTTTCTTCGACTTTTCGATGAATCTCGATGGATTGATTGCCGCATTTTGGTTGCTTTTGATATTTCCTCAAATTTGTGGATTGGAAGTGTATACAAAAACCGAGGCTGGCATAATAATTGGCGATATTCATGAGGTGAGCACTTGAACCAATTTTCAAAGGGTATTTTTCGGGCAGGGGCAGAGAGATGTGAGTTGGTCGGGTTTTGGACTGGCTCACAAGAATCTCTGGACCTGGTTCCTGCCCTGGGTAACACAATGGTTCAACGGGCGTCGAATTTCTATTTCTTTGCCAAATTCTCGCTATAAAACTCGCTAAACTCGCAACATTTAAGGCAAAAATTGCCCCAAAACTTTGGACTGCGCCACTCACTACTGGCCCTAGCCACCCACCTCTCCTTTCCCTTGACGATTTCCAAAAGGAAACAGCTATCTATCAGGAGCGTGTGCCAGGTTGCGAGAGAATATGCGACCGCACAAAGAACATCTTTAGATCATTTTACACAGTGATTTTTCTTTCTTCTTTAAATGAGATTTATGAGACTCCCAAATGAAATTTAATGTTAAAAATTTGTGCCCCGATGTTTTCAGAGTCGTAGAACCTTTTTGGCGGCGTTTATTTTAACCCTTTTTCCCCAAGAAAAGTCCCAAGAGAATCGAATTCGGTTGGGTTTTGCATATGATAGCTTCTCATGATGAAAAAACCTGGATTTCTGAAAAGAATTGATTAAATTTGCCTACATTTGCCGTCATTTTGTCCTCAACAACTTTAGACGGAAAGCACGTCAGCCGAGGTGTACGAATCGATTCCCTATGCGGCTCCTCCATCCGGGAATCTTCGATTTGAAGTAAACTTAAAGCATTCAAAGTTTCTCTAGGAAAACTTTCAATTTCTTGTCACTAGACATCTCAATGCTTTGATTGAATCTCGATCTTTCCACTGGCCGATTCATTTTTCAGTTGCCCGTTCCACCAGTTCCATGGAATTACCCATTGGATGTCCGATATGAGACCTCTTGTCATCAGTGAGTTTTGCGAGAAAGATAAATCTCAAGAACATAAAAATAAACTGTAAATGTTTTTCGATGTTCTCTAAACGAGGAGATGACTGAGTCAAAGTACAAGATCTACGGGATGAATGATTGTTTGAGGATGAAAGTCGTCGTGCCACTCGACTATTGGAGTCGACAGGTTTGTGGATTCAAAAATACATTTAGCCACACGATAAACTATCCATAATTATCATTTATCCACAATTATATATTACAAACAATGCCGAAGCTTTAAATTAAGGGAAAATGCCTATATTCATGGAAAAAAACGAACCAATAATCTAGTGGGTGGGATTGAAAGCCTTGACCTCTCGACTAAGCTACTGGAGCCTTGGCCAGTCAGCTATGGCGGCATTTAATTGCTGTAGTTTTTAGCTAAACATATCAAAGATATCGTTAGTTGAATCTTTTCCTAAGAAGCTTTTATAATCTCAACAATTTCCAGCGCTATTCCGCCTATTTACCGATCGTTTTCTGGATTCACGGCGGTTCGTATCGGGTAAATCTATCATTTTTTTACTTTTCTAAAAAGCATTCATTTTACCGTAATCAAACCGTCCATTACTTTTCAATTAACCCGATTTCGGTAGTTTTAGGTAGCTTTTCCAAGAATTATTTTCAAAACTACCGTAACCAAGTGCCGTTTTATTAGGTTGGCAACTAAATAATGGCCCTCGCCCTTTTTTGATAAAATCTTTTAATCTTTGCGTTTAATCTACCCTCGCTTGTTGTTAATTGAATATTACTGAATTTCCGGTGCATTATTATACGTTTTTACTTTCCTTGATTTGTACTTTTCAAATAATTTTGTTTAGAAATGGAAGTCTCAAATATCGAATGCGTGTCGTCTCTGGTACGACTACAAACAAGACAAAACAGCTGCCGATCCCACAGGTTTTTGCGGTTTTTGGTGTGAGCCTTTCCGAACACAATGTAGGTGGTATCGACGGTTCAAGGAAGGGGTGAAGTCTTGAAGTGGCCTCGCCAAGGCGCCCGAACTTCTGCAGAACTATTTTGGAAGCACTTTGGGGTCCAAGTCAAACATCCGCGGCTGGGGTCGTTGGGCTTTTCGCATACTGCAATCGAAGCGACTTCTGCATCGGGGAAGTACCGCAGTGGAAAGTGGTTCCGCATGAATTGAGCGAAGAAAATAAGGCTACTCTTGTTATCACAGCTGGATACTACTAAAACTTGCGAAAAGGGAGCTTCTTGGTTCCATTGTTACTTCTGTGAAAATGGATCTTTTATGATAATCGAACGCGAAAACGACAGTGGCTTAGCACAAACGAAGACCCAAACCAACTCCGAAGCCGGATATTCACTCAAAGAAAACTCTCCTCTGTGTGTGGTGGAGTTCTCGTGGGTTGGTGCATTTCGAGGTTCTCAAAAGCCGGCAAACGGTTAATTCAGAACTCTATTCGTCTCAACTACATCGTGTAGATCAAGCAATTCGCTCTCAAGGACTCGAACCCTCTTCATTCATTTTCTCCATGATAACGCAAAACCACACCTGCAAAACTTACAATGGGAATCGAGGAGTTGGGCTGGAATGTTCTTCCTCATGCGCCATACAGCCCGGATATGGGGCCTAATGTTCCTCTTTTTCGTCGATGCAACACTTTCTGCCGAGAAAAGTTCAATGACCTGCGAAGTCCGAATTTCAGTGCAGGTTCTTTGCGTCAACCAGAAGAATTTTTCAAGAGGGATCCAGTTGCTCCGTCAAAAGTGGAAAGAAGTAATAAGAATGACGGGTCCTTTTGGTTGTGTTGTATTTGTTCATCTTGTTATATTTTTGTTTTTCTGAAAGGGCCATTATTTGTTGCCACCCATTTGAATAGCTCAATTTTAGAATTTTAGAACCATTGAGTAAATGGTTGAACCGTATGAACGATTTTGATATGATTCCGCATCGAATCATACCAGAATCAAGTATCTTTTCTCTTCAAACGGCTAACAGCTTATTGAGTCTTGAGTTACCGTAATATTGAGTTGTATTGCTTTGAACGTTTTGAATCCCGTTTTGAATCCGCATCGAATCATACCAAAATGTTGGGGTAATCGAATGAAAACTGAAATCACTACGAGAGTTTTAGGTGCTTTATCGAAAAGGGACCAGTAGAACACGATAATCGTAACGATTTTACACCATTTCACCCAAAAATCTTAGAAGATTGGTCATAATTTGAGTTTAAACGGTAGATTTTACGCAAAACCTAACCCGCTATCAGGCTGGTGGCAAATTGTGGTACAAGAACTCGGGGATCATTCGAAATTTCGCGTCTCGGCGCATGATTTTCGTCGCTGTTGATTATCGACAAGGATTTGAGGGTGGGAAAGTTGAAAACTTGAAGAAAAAAATTAGAAACTATCGATATTTTGATGAATTCAGGTTTTCTCGCAATGCATGACACCGATTTACCCGGAAATCTGGGATTAGAGGACATTTTGATGGCTTTGAGATTTGTTAGGGTGAGTGAATTGCTAAGAGTACGAAGAGATGGTAGATGTGACTAGCTGGCACAAAATTTACATAAGATTTGCGTCTGGCAAGTTCATAAGAACGTTATTAACGTTTTTGTGACTATGCAAATTTGCTAGTTCGACGAGAAACAGAATCTTTTCGATTTCCTGTTTACTCATATTCACGAATTTAAGCTTTATCTTTTTAAGACGTCAACAATTAGCATTTATAAAAATATTATTTTTAAATCACAAATATTATGCCAAAATTCTGTATTTAATTCATTGTCTGGCAGATAATTGTAAATTTCCGCTTGTTCATTCAAAATTCCGTCCACCAGAGTCACTAAATACCTACCGTAAATACTGTAATAGTACCCGACCCCCATAATGACGGTGCGGAGTGTTGCGTAGTCTAGTTTTGAACGAGTTTTTCTCGACACTGGTTTATGCTACAATGGTATCAAAGGTATCAAAAAATAGCCCTGAATTTCAGCTATTTTTTGATACCAAAGACGCATTTTTTGAAGGTACGGGCGCTTTGAAAAAAATGAAATACTAAAAAACTTTTGCGACTACGCGACTGTACGAGAGGGGTGGGGTACTATTATAATATTTACGGTAAGAAATACTAAGAATGTCAAATTTATTATTATTATTATTATATTATAACAAATTATGAAAGTATTCAGGATAACGCCTACAATTTTGGAGGAGATCCAAACAATATCGTGGTTGCCGGTGATGGAACTGGTGCCGCACTTGCGGGAATATTAGCGACAAGTCCGAAAACGAATGGTACTTTCCTGGCTAGAGTACCCAAACTTTAAAATAGTTTTTATGGATTATATCCAATCGTATTTAGGGTTGATTCAAGGGGTAATGCTTTTCTCGGGAACAACCACTGCCCCATGGGCTGTTCAACACGAAAGAACTGTGAATTTTCAAGTTTTTTATTTGATAAGCTAACGTTTTTTGCCAGAAAAACAACACGATTCGTGTCTTGTGGAATTGCAAATGTGTGAGCGGTTCGTCAAAAAAACTCAAAGAATGTCTGAAGAAAGTTGGGGGAAATCTTTGAAAATGAAACTGAAAAACTCTAGGCGGATCCAAGTTGTTACCATGAAGAGATCGAAAAAAGGGATTTCTTTGATTATGTCGATGATGTAAAGGTGAGAGGTTACGAAGAAAAACTCAAAATTAGCAATTCTATAGAGCAATTCTATAGCAATTCAAATCTCTAGAAGTCGAGAGCTTTTTGTGACTAAATTTTGAAAGAATTACTATTCAAAAAAGTAGCAAAGATTTAGGTTTTTTTATAATTTAGATATTTATAATTGTTTCATCGATTGGTAGTCATTATTAAAGTAATTCTTTAAGTTCAAAATTTGATCACAAAAAGCCGCGTCCTCGAGTTTTAGAGATTTGAAATTCTATAGAATCGCTAATTTTAAATTTCTAAAGTATTGGAAATGAAAATTCTATCAAAAAAAAAGTTTTATGGGGAATGGTTAACTCTAGACCCAGCTAAGCACTAACGAAAAAGTGACCGTAATTCTTGAAAATCCTGTATAAGTTCAGCTGGTATTTAAACAATGACGTAAGTCAAAGCTCGCTCGAGTGGATGCATGTGACTTATCATTAATACTGATAGACTCGCGTTTGTTTACATGAGAAATAGTAGTGAGACTAAGTGAAATAAAAATGCAGAAAACGGAGACGAAATGTGAGTACATTTGTCCCTCTGGATGGTTGTTAGTAACCATAATAAAGTTGATGAATGAGAGCCGACGTAAATACAAAAGTTGTTTGGCGACGTAAATACAAAAGAAAGGCAAAGAAAATGCGTTGAAGAAACGAAAGAAAATCGAAAGAAAATCAATGACACGGAAAGAAACGCCAAACGAAACTCTCGGAAAAGAAAAGGGAAATGAAATGGCGGAAAAGGGCTACGGTATTTGGGGCATCACTTAGAAAAGAGGGAAAGACGGGATTTAACTCTAATCGTCAATACTTTGCAAAATTTATCAAATCCCGGCTCGGGGTTGACTACCGTACAGTAAGTCAACTATTGAGCCTTGTACTAGCCCTAACAACAAGTGAGTTATCGTAGCGACTTAGGTCAAGTTACGGTAGCTTGGGCGTGCTTTAGAGCTCCCAAGTCCTTTGAAAAGGTTTGCAAAATGACAGGATTGAGTGGATTTAACTCTAATCAATCGTCAATCGTTCATTTCCGATTTCTTTCTTAGATTATTTGCAAAATTTCTCAAAATTGTAAAGATTTTTCTATATTTTATCTAGACAATGTACGAGGCTCATCGAATGGGCCTTTCCCCATTCACTCCAGTCATCGATTCATATCGTGGATGGGATGCTGTTTTGGGTGGAGAGCCGGAGGAACAAGTCAAGTACTGTCATTTTTCGACATTTACTTTGGTAATTTGATTTGATTTATTTAAATTTAAAGCGACAAAAGTTTTTCAATTTGCTTTAAATGAAAATCTAGACAAAACGCTCGTGTCAGAGCGCTCTTCAGCAACGCGGCTCATGAGCGCTTGTTCAATTGCGGAAAAATTGGTGGGATTTAATGCTATTTACTAGCTATCTTTCTTTAAGATAGATATCAAAAAGTAAATGAATTCAATGTAATTTTAATTGATATTCAGCCGGTCTACCGATCCCGTTGAAAGAATGGGTCGACGGGATCGTCGAGGCTCGATTCGGCAACTCGACCTATGTGAAAGATCTCTTTGATGACTGGTTTGTGAGCAGAAAAAGTTTTTCTTTTGAGTAAATATCTTCTCTTTGTTACATAGTTTTTTTTAGGTACCACCCGTTGAACCCGATTCATGAAACAGATAAAGCACGCCGCACATCGAGATTGCTCACATTCACCGAGGGTTTGTGGAAAAAGTTGCTGACAAACGTCCGACTCATTACCAAAGTGCCAAGTGCTATATAGAGAAATTAAAGCCCTTAATCTTGGCATCATTTATCTATAAAGAACTTTCCGATTGGAATTATATAACTCATTTTATAAGCTCTTGAATGAGCTCAAGGCCTCTCTCCAGCGATCTGCCATTTTTGACACATTTTTGTCAGCAATTTTTCCAAAAAAGGTATCGCCTTTTACGGGTGTCTTTTGAGAGACTCAAAATGCATCTACAAAAATGATCGCTACGGTAGTCTTAAGGCCAAACACTATAGTTTTTGCTTTACTGTAAATCGTGCTTGGTTAGCTTGAGTGTACTTTGTGCTCAAATCATACCCCTTCTAGCGCACTGATCTCCATTTTTCTTAAGAGAAAATGAAATCTGCGTACGCTAGAAAGGGTGTGTTTCTATTTTTGAACTCGAGAATCAAATTTCCAGACGATTGGGTGGCCGACACACAACACGAGGCTCTTCACTATGCTGATAAAGGGCAAAACGTCTACACACTTCTCAATAATATTTACGGACATCCAAATGGTTTTTTTTAGAGGCTTTGATCTATATCTTGGCTTTAAATGTAGAATTAGATCATGTTAATGTTAATCAAATTTCAGCCGGACCCGACGGAAAATGGGGTACCGATCATGGAACCGATTTGGCGATGCTATTCGACTCGAGGGCTTTCTACGCACCATTTGGACAATATAAGTAAGAAATCGGCTTTAATTTCGCTGAATCTTACCGTAATCACAGACGTTTTCAACTAAATAATCATTTAATCTGATCCTTTTTTCAGTTGGGAAGAGCTGAGCTTCGGGAAAGCGTTTGCCGATCGACTTGCCGACGTTATCTCCGAATTCGTGGCGAATGGGTGAGTAAAGGGAAAAGAATCCTTCAAATCTTTAGATTTATCTCGATTTTTGATCGATTATAGAGGAAATTGATTGCAAATTGATTTCAAATTGTCATTTTTATTTCAATGTTATTTCAATGCTATTTCAATTTGCAGTCACCTTCAATCACATCCGAAATTCACTCGCGCAAACTGGGTCGTATTGCGAATCACTTTCGATCGAATCGAGCACAAACAATTTTCAGCTGAAAATTACAATTTTTGGTATAAAAAAGAGATATTTTTCAGTTAAAACTAAAACTAAAACAGGCTTTTTTTAATCACTTTTTTTAATCACTTTTTTTAATCACTTTTTTAATAACTTTTTTCAGGAGAGAGGCAGCTCCTGAATTGGCGAAACTGCAAGCGAATGAGATCCGAAGAAAACAACGGGAAACTCAATGAACATTTCAACTATTTGCACATATATTTATGAAAGCTTGGATTTTTGAAAGATTAAAGAATAAAACTTTTTTTAAATGACTGCTTTTGAGGAGGTTCTTCTGATCATATCAGCGATGAAGATTGAGTTGGCACGAGTGCGGAGAGTCGGCTGGAAACTTGCTTTGTGAAGGTTGTACTTGTACAAACATATAAATACACCATCTGACTTACTCGATTCGTCATTTTTCATGATTTAGCATAGCAAATCAACATCTTTCCCTTTTCTCGACAAGGATTTAAGGAGTTGCCTTGAATTCCTTGAATGCAAGGCAACTCCTTGAATTCAAAGCATTCAAGTCCTGTTCTGTTTCCATTTCGAATCTTATTCATCAGTTCAGTTTATCTTTGTATATTTTTGTACTTTGATTTAGCAGGATGACGAATTTGTAGCAAGGATTTGCCAAATTTAGGGCAGAAAAGCTCCCAAGAATTTGGGCATAGTGAGCCCAAAACAGCAAAAACCCAATCAGTCGCTCACCCCTTTACCGATTGTAAAGTCACCCACCTCTCCTTTCCCTTTACGATTTCTAAAAGGAAACAGCTATCTATCGGGAGCGTGTGCCAGGTTGCGAGAGAATGCGCGGTCGCACAAAGAACACTTTGCCAGTCACTTTACACTGTGATTTTCTTTTCTTCTTTTCTTTTCAACTTTAGTTTGAATCTGTTACCTTGTCTATGAATTTTTGTTGTCATAAAATCGATTATATTTTAAAGATTACCGTCTTTTTGGCGACAAAAATCCCAATTAACGCCTTTCGATATGAGTTTGTTGTGGTGAGAAGGACGATTGAAGTGAGACCGGAATGGGCTGTTGAGAGAAGGTTTCCATATGGGGATACTAAAGATTTCAAATCAATTATGTTTTAGCTTTAAGCTTTCTCCTATTGTTGGGCATAAAAAGACTGAGAATGAGTCTTTTCTGGTCCATAACTTCTATTGTATTTCCTAAAAGATGTCAGTTTTTTTGACTATCGTAATCTTGTCTCTGCGTTTTAGCCAATCTAGCTACTCTTGCTCTGATTCTATGATAGTTCACAAAAGATATCGAAAGGTACAAAAGTCTATCTCTATATCTATATAGAGATATCTATCTAGATTGGATTGAAACTATAGCTAAAGTTAAAGTCAAGAAAGCTCTCATTTTTTAGAAAATACATAATTGAGGAGATCAATAATCAAAAATGTTATGTTTCCTTGGAAATGGTCAGACAAAAAAAAGACAGGTGTTTCAAGAAAAGACAGGTGACAGGTGTTTTGTTCAATATCTTCAATATCTTCAATATCTTCAATAACAAGCGTTTGTTATGTTAATAATCAAAATACGACTATTTACAAGAACTCACAAATTCTCTGAATGATCGCCGCCCAACTCCATCCAATCAGCAAAGACCATCTTGATAACAGATAAAGACTATAGAAAGTACCGTAAGCACCAATGAGTACAAGAAACTGAAAGATTTGAAATTGGAATTGAATAAAGAAAATTTCAAAACTTGAAGAGCCAAGATGCGAAACGTTTGTTTCTGCATTCGAATCGTTCTCGCGGAGAGTGATGGTTGGGGTAAATGGAGGAGAAGAGTGATCATCATCACCTCCACACAAATCAAAAACGCCATGATCGAAAATTGGAGATTGAAAATGATTGACGCCGATAAAATGAGGGAATCGGCCATGTCATAGATGATTGCGCTGTCCCTCCATTCCATGGGAACATCCAGGGGATTTGCGGCTAACTAGAAGTCATTGTTTTAATCCATCTATGTATTTTGTATTGTATACCAGTTTTATATTGTACCTGGCTCTGTTAGTACTAGTGCTAGGGTAGTGAAAGTACTTGTATGACCACGTGGGACCTCATTTTGGCCTCACTGGTGACTTTTTTTAGCAGAAAGGCGAATTTGTAGCAAAAATAAAGAAGAAATGATTCAAGTAAATCGGTTTATCAATAATATACCATCTAATGCGATGTTTTCGGGTATTAAATGAGTTTTTCGGGTCAGGTTCAACCTTGAACGGCTCGGATAGTTTTGGTTTAGTATTGTTGACTTCGTAGCAGTAATACGGCTAAATTTGGGGTAAAATCGATCCAAGCATTTTGGGCATAATGACAGCAAAAGGCTCAGGCTCCCTTCCCTTTACGAAAACCAAAAGGGGACACCTATCTATCAAGGGTGTATTCCAGGTTGCGAGCGATTACACCGCCGCACAAAGAACACCCCGCCAGTAACTTTACACAGTGATTTTTCTTTTTTTCTTTTCTGTAAATGATTTCCAAATGAGATTTAATGTTAAAAATTTGTGCCCCGGGGTTTTCAGGGTCGTAGAACCTATTGGAGGAGTTTATCTTAACCCTTTGTCCCAAGAAAAGTCCCAAGAGAATCGAATTGGTTTGGGTTTTGTTTTTCGTTTTATTTTGATAGTTTTTCACAATGAAAAGACTCGGATTTTGGCAAAAGAACCGAATTTTCGAAAAGAACTAAATAAAGAATTGAGGAAGCATTCTATGGATTCGAATCTTAAGTACCGTAACCCTCAAATATTAGGTTGATGCAAAAGTCTTTTTCATTTTTTTCGTCTGCCGTTTCAAGCCAACAAATGCACGAATTAAACTACGGTTGATTTCATTAGAAAAAGCAATTATTTTTCTGCAAAATAACATTAAAACGGGTTTAAAAATATTTAATGCCTGGATTTTCTTGAGAGTATGAAGTCGGGTAGTCAAAAAGGGCTAACTCGATGATGCGGTTTAGACACCTTAGCTAAAGAAAACCTATCTTCGTGTCAATAGATAAAAGATAGAGAAAAAAACGTTTGATATTTCGCCAAAATTTCAGAGAAATTCATTCAGCCAATTTTTCCGTAGAGTTTTTTATAGATTTTTACGAAAAAGGCGTTTTTCACTCTCAAATTTGCTTGAAAGTGAACCCAAATTGACTCAAAAAGATGGGAAATTGAACAATAAACACTTTTTATTTAGAGCAAACTATAGATTAATTGGTGAATTTGTTACTTTTTAACAGAAGTACGAAAAAAATGAAAAAGACTTTTGCATCAACCTAATATAAGGGGGAAAGTGAAAGTTTGACTGACTAAACGGGAAAAGGTAAATGTTAGATTGAAGTTCAATTTTCTATCATATAATATCAAGAATTTATCGTACTTTACCCTCATCGGTGCTTTAAAAAAGCGATCATTTTTGAAGTATTCAAAGTAGTACTTTATCTTGGCAAGCTTGGTATTAAAATCGGTAAAATCCATAACTTCCTACCAATGCTTTCGACGTATCAATCATCTTTTGATCGATCGCTGAAAATAAAAGAGTCGCACAAATGGGAATCATTCCATAATATGCGACCAGCCACCCAAAACAAAGCCCTTTCATCAATTTTCGGTGAAAAGTTGACGCGAGCGAGTACAATTTCATTGTAAACGCCAATCCGATTGCACCTCCTTGAATCGACAAGAGAACGTAGAAGAATATCTGAAAAATTGATAATACACTTTCTCATTTTCAACTTACAAAGAAAATGTGTGTTCCGATGACTCCAACTCTCAAATATCCGACTAGATAAATACCCGTTTGGGTGTAGGCAAAGATTGGACCAAAGATGCCACCGTAGACCTCGAAAAACGTCATCGAGATCTAAAGTTGGCTTTGAAAATGTGAATAGATCGAATTTCTGAAAAAAATGTTTAATTTTCTATTTGGTTTTCAAATCTATAGTAATGGCTTCAGTCAATATTCCTTTTCGAAAAGATTAGCTCTTTGGAACTTTACCGTACTCTAAAGTTTCGATTAACTCGTGAATTTGTTTAGTGATCTGCAAGGGATATTGTAGCTCTAGAAAGGAAACAAGGGTACGGTAAATGAAAGCTGAGAAGAGTACGGTATCTATCCCTGGATACGTATCTTGGTGATCACCAGGGATAGATACCGTGCTCTTCCCAGCTTTCAGTTACCGTGCCCTTGTTTCCTTTCTAGAGCTACAATATCCCTACAATATTCCTTTTTAGAGCTACAATACCCCTACAAGGGATACTGTAGCTCTAGAAGGCAAAAAATCGAGTAGAGTAACTTTAAAGACATTTTTAAAAAAGTGAGATAATTAAATAGGTTACCGTAATATTTAGCTGAACTATTCGAAAGGTTCTCAAAATTGGCGGTGAATGGAAAGAGACAATGTAGATGGCCAAAAGCGCCACGATCACATCAAAGAGGGCCAATGAAAGGAAAATGTTTGCCAGCATTGGATGCGTTGAGTTCATTTTTGAAAGCTTAAACTTTGAATCTATGGCAGTACTAGAAGTGGCTATAATTTCATTAAACAATAGCTTTTCCAAGCTTGAAACTTTCTCCTTCAAAAACACCTGTCTTTACCCAATCATTTACAGTATACAGGGTGCCCAATAATTACAGCAACAAAGAAATTCGCTGATTTAAAGCACATATAGTCTTAAAGTTATTAAAAGTAAAAACGATAATGATTTACTCGTTAATAACTTTGTAACTAAACAAATAACTTTTTCTCAAACACTTTCTCCTTTCGCGGCAATACAAGCCTGAAGGCACTTTGGGAATCTGATGGAATCTGATGGATTATCCTATCTGGCCCGTCCTTGAAGTTAAAGCTTGCTCAAAACCGTATAAAAATGTTGAAAGTTTGAAGAAAAGTCTTCTGAAAGCTTCGGATGAACTCGATGATGCTTACTCTTTTTCTGAATGTTCACCCAGCTCGCCGGCTCTCAAATATTTCAAGGAACGAATTGCTTTCTACAATTGTCAAATAGCTTTTTCGGTAACTCCCCGTTTAAGAAAGCCAGCGACTTTGAGATTTATGATTTCCAGTTTAAATTCATCGTTGAAATATTGGGTTGGGGAGAATGAGTCGGCGCCGAAATTTAAAGAAACTTTTTGCACCCATAAAACCTTCTTTAAATACACGTTTTGTTTCATCAAAATGGTCCACTATTTCTTTACAAAATGGCTTTTGAGAGAGATTTCACAAAGCTTTTCTTTTTTGGGATTTTATGGATTCCCAAACACAGCTAATCAAAATGACAAAAAGTCCGACTCATTGCTTGAACAGTTTCTTCCACATAAACCTCCTTTGGTGTTTATATAAAAAAGATAGAGCACACTCAATTACATAAGTTACAAAATTTTCAGGAAGATCCCTCCAACCGTTTACTCTAGATGACAGTTTATCGATTTTGTGAAAAAATGATCCTTTGTTGAGTTGAGGCGCTGTTTGAGTTCTCTTTTAAATATTATTTTGTAGAGAATTAGTTACCCTTCTACGGATATCAAACGCATATCATTTGACAAAGTCTGCTATAAGTTTTAGAAATTTCTTTGATTTTCGGCGCCGACTCATTCTCCCCAACCCAATAAATAACACAATCCATCCTGTGGAATTTCCTGTATTCTGTGGAATATTTTGGGTAAATGATAGAAAAATTGTCTGGTACGTCCTTGAGGCAAAAGCCTGCTCAAAGCCGCATAAAAATGTTGAAAGTTTGAGGAAAAGTCTTCTGAAAGCCTGGGATGAACTTGAAGCCCCGTCCATCTTTGATGATATCAATGGTAGCAGATAGGTATGGAACATCCAGCTCATCCCATGCCTTTTGCAATCATCTCTTCAAAAAATCGACTGTGGAATGGGCTTTTTTGCAAGCTCCAAAACAGACCAAACACTGTAATCCAAAGGATTCAATTCTGGGCTTGATGGAGGCCATTGGTTGAAAGTGATGAAATCGGGGAAATTTTGCTGACACCAATCCTGAACAACTCGAGCTTTGTGTGCTGGCGTGCCATCCTCTTGGAAGCACCAAACACGATTGCCAAAATGATTTTGAGCCCACGGGAGAACCTCTTTCTTCAAAATATCGTGATAATTGTTGGCGTTGATCTTGATGCCCTGATCCACGAAGATAAGCGGCGTCTTTCCATCAGAGGTAATGCCCGAAAACACCATGACCGACTTTAGATATCCAGTTCGCGTAACAGAAGCATTTGGCTGGGACTTGGCATAAATCCTGTCGTTCTTTTTGTTCACAAATTGCTCAATCGTAAACACATTTTCATCGGTAAACAAAATGTTTGGGTGATCGGTCTCATTGAATCGAAGAAGCCGGTTTGCGCGAGCTTCTTGCTTCTTTTTTTCCCACAGCGGAAAGAAGCTGACATTTCGAGTACTTATAAGCTTTCATTTTCAGATTTTTCTTAACAATTGTGCCTATCGGTTCCTTTGAAATCCCCATCGAATTTGCCATTTTTCGCTGGGAAGTCGCTTTTTGCTGCTTGTTGTTATGTCGCACTCGTTCGTGGATCCTCTTGATGTTGACTTTTGTAATGACCGTTGCTTTGCCACACCCTGGACGATTCGAATTTGATCCCAAAGATTTATATCGGTCAATCGTTTTCAAAACCAAATTTCTATCAATCAATAGTCGACGAGCAATTTCGATTTGTCGGACTCCTTTGCGATGAAGATGGATGATCGAATCTCGATGTTATGTCGCACTCGTTCGCGGATCCTCTTGATGTTGACTTTTCTAATGACCGTTGCTTTTTTCTCCTAAAATATGACAAAAATACTATAAAATTATATTGCAAAACATCATAACTAATAGAAAACATTAAAAAAACATAATTAACGAAAAAACTAGACGCATAATAGCTGATTAATACAGATTAATACCGTCATTATTGGGCACCCTGTAGTTTCATTCTTTTGAGTGCATAAAGATAATTAAGTTTGAAATTTTGATAAAAAATTTATTGATAAATTTAAAGAAAAGCTAGTTTTCCAGTTTTATCCTTATCGAGGGGCAATCGAACGCTCACTTGGCTCACGCGGCAAGGAAATCACCAATGTTGAAGTGGGATACTGAAACTGGATTAGTCACAATTTTTGACAGCAATAAATAGATGCCGATCGTTTTTTGTATTCATTTACTTTTACAAGCTTTAATTATCTTAAACAAAGCTGTCTGACCTAAATATCTGACTTAGACAACAAGATTTTAACCATCAACTTTCAACAAGCTCAGTGTTCTGTTCTGTTCCAAGATCCTGTGGGAAACTAGCTAGAGAAAAAGCATACGGCCTCAGAACCTGACTTCTGGCCTAGGCCTGGTCCAGTTAAATTATCTTTAGAACAATTCTATTGGGTAAACACCGGACTCTTAAACACTTTTGTCTTACAAAAAAAAATGAGCAGCTTCTAATTGTCAGGTCTTTTTTAATTTTGATTTAAGGTTTAACGTTTAACTTAAAACAATGAAACCCACATTCACTCGAAAAATTTTATTCACAGCTTGCCGATATGGAGTTGTTGTGAGTAAAAGGAGGATCGATGTGATTCCCGAATGGGCACACGAAATGATGCCCAAGATTGGAATGGCTAGATTTGGATTAAGCTTAAAGGAGAATTCGAGGCTTGTTCAAAGATTAGACTAGTCAAAAGGTCAAAGTCAATTTCTAACAACAAATCAAACCGAATTTCTCGATCATCTCAACCCAGAGAGCCCCAAAGGCGATGAAGATGCGAGCTAGTCCATAAGTGATGTATGGGAGTCCGAAGATGAAACCAACCGTGATAAACTGGAAGAGCCAATAGATTAAAGCTGGATAGTTTCAGTATTAAAAAAATTATAAATTCGTTTATTATAAAAAAGGATATTTTCAGATGTAGGTACTTTTTGAAAAAGTTTATTCAAAGATATCCAGATGTTGGTCAGATTCTGGGTTTCGCTGTCTAGTTTTGCCCTTAGCTTTGGCTATTAAATGGTCTGACTTTACTAAAAGCAAAGATAGGTCAGCTTTTGAAATTGACCAATAAGAGTATCTGGATGTGGCTGAGCTTTGGCTTACAGACTTACAGATTCAAAGATCCAGAGATCAAACTTGCAGATGCAAAGATTCGCCTGAAACACCTATTTGGAATGGTTACGCGGCAGATTTCAAGTAAACTTCAGTACAAGAAATGAAATTTTTATCAATTTTTCTCAATTTATTGAATATTTAATTAGTTTAACCCAAGTCCTCGAGAAATTTGAGCTTTCAAAAGCACCTGTATGACAAGAATGCGAAACGTCTGTTTCTGCATTTGAATCGTTTTCCTCGAAAGGGTCATTTGCGAGAAATTTAGGAGGTAAGTGATGCAAATCATTTCAATGACCAACAATATTGCGGTGATATAGAATTCATAGATAAACACAGCGACGCCGATAATCATGTAAGAATTTGAGGGAATATTGTAGAGAATCGCACTGTCGATCCATTCAATTGGAATGATTCCAGGGTTGGCGGTGATCTGGAAATAATATGGTAATCGAATTCTGGTAAAAAGACGGTAGCTATGGTACCTGGAGTGCTAAAAGGCACTTACCGTATTCTCTCTAATAGTAGTGCACCCCGGGCTGAGTTGGTGACTATTTTACGGTTTCTAATTTTTCGCAAAAGCTCAACACTCAAATCCCCCACAAGATCTCATCGTCAGCTACATTTTCCGACCCCACATCGATAGGTTCTGATAAGCGCTTTTTGAGATTTCGAGCAATTTAGGCGACGCTCAGGGTGCACTACTATTAGAGAAAATACGGTATTTTCGAAAACTACCGTAATCAAACCATCAGCTTTCATCCGATCAGCCAAATTTCGGTCTCATTTCTTCATCAAATGACACCAAAACTGGTAGCTTGATTACGGTAGCCAAAAATAGATATCTTTTAGAAAATTCATTGGCGCATGGAGTCCTAGCGTCTCCGGTAAAATGCCTGAAGTCTAGTGCGCTAGAAAAGCTGTGTTTACACTGTCTAACAGAAAGTACAAAATCTTCAGTGTATACTTTGTGCTCAAAAATGAAAACACATCCTTTCTAGTGCACTCATCATTTTACTTGTGTCGTAGTTTTTCTTTCTTGTTTTCAATTTCTTGTTCCATTATCGTCAACTAACCGTTTCCCAGAAGTATTCTTCCATTTGTCGATCATACGCTAAATACAAAAAGGTGACACATATCGGAATGGTGGAATAAATTGAAATGATATAAAGAATACAAAGCAAATGGATTGATCGTTGATGATTTGGTGGAGCGAGGGCGTAGAATTTGAGGGTAAACGCCGCCCCAATCGCTCCACCCTGAATGGCCATCAGAGTGTAGAAAATGATCTGTAAATTCGACTCTACAATTCTCAAATTTCGATTCAATCTTTAATATCTATGCTCACAAGAAAATAATGTGTTCCATGAGGTCCAAGACGTAAATATCCGACTAGGTAGAGACCGGCTTGGGAATGGACGAGGATCGGGGCAAACCATCCAGTAAATGCATCGAAAATCGTCATCGTTACCGAAAATTGAAAGCTACAGATTATAAGTTCACTTGTATATTTAGAAAATATACTTAAATATTGTTAGATTCTTTGATATCTCATTGTCAGAGGGATATGCTTGACAGATGCTTGAACACGAATGAACGGTTCAATCCAAAGACTTAAGAAACTAGACTAAGATATTATTACAGTAAACCGTTCGCCAAAATTACTCTGAAATTACTGCATAATAACAAAGGTACTGTGTCAAGTTTTAAGACCCTTAGACCCTATGCAAGCCTTTGGTATTTGTGACTTTCTTGGAGGCCATACTCAAATGCAAATTCATCTAGCTAATGTAAAGTGGTCACAAGTACGTAATGACGTCATTTTCATTTTTAAATGTAAATCAAGCTGCAAAGTTTATTAGAAAATTTGACACAAACATTTACAAATCTTGCACCGCAAGGAGTGGCCGCAAAAAAAGACATACCGTAAATACTATAATAGTACCCCACGCCCATAATGACGGTGCGGAGTGTTGCGTAGTCTAGCTTTGAACGAGTTTTTCTCGACACTGGTTTATGCTACAATGCGCGCTTAGGTATCAAAAAATAGCTGAAATTCAGGGCTATGATACCAAAAACGCATTTTTTGAAAGTACGGGCGCTTTGAAAAAAATGAAATACTAAAAAGCCTTTGCGACTACGCGACTGTACGAGAGGGGTGGGGTACTATTACAGTATTTACGGTATTTACCAAGCCCTTTTCTGGCGTTTGCACTTATCCCATCCCAACCCTGATTTGTTACTTTGTTCTCTAAAAATTACCTTACTTTAACAGTGCTGAGTACTCTGTATACTATCGATATCGATACAAGTTTGTCGATTGAATCTTATTCGATCGGATTGGTCGGATTGGATCTAAGGAATCCTTGAATACTATCCGATCCAAGGTTACCAGGTAATCGACTACCATTTCTACAAGGTGTTCTGTATTTACGGCGACTGCTTTTTAGCTGCCAAGCGCCAAGTTCAACCCTAGTGTGTTAAGTGTTGTATAAAATATTGAAGCCCTTAATCTAGGCTACATTTTTCTCTTAAAATTTCCCCGATTGGAGATATACAACTCATTTTACAAGCCCTTGAAAGAGTACTAGTTGATCCCTCAAGTTGCTATTTTTGGCAATTTTCATTGTAAGAAATTTTCAGAAAAATATCTCTAATCGGGAAACTTTAAATAGATAAATGTAGACAAGATTAAGGGCTTTAATATTTTATATAACACTTAATAAATTAAAGTTGAACTTGGCGTTTGTGAGCTAATCTCTAAAGAAGTTGCCGTAAATACTGAAAATCCTGCAGCTTGTCCAGCTTATGTTGTTGTTTCTGTTTCTGAACTGTAGATCTTTTCTCTTCAAACGGCTAACATGTTATCGAGTCTTGAGTTACCGTAATATTGAGTTGTATTGCTTTGAACGTTTTGAAAATCATCGGTGAATAGGCGTAAATGATGAAAGCGGCAAAAAGCCCCATAGTTAGATCAAAAAGTGAAATGAACAAGTAGGCGTTAGCCAGGAAATAATTTCGACTTGTGATGTTTTGCATTTGAGAACAAGGATTTAAGAAGTCGATCAAATCTCTGACTTTGTTGGTTGAGTTTTTCTCCGTCATGATCGATAAGATGTGCACCTGTTTGAGTAATTAAATACTGTATTGCAATAGATTAGAAATTCATTTAAAAGCTAAAAAAGGACTATTTGACTAAAAGTCAAAGTTTTTATGGTAAAAATTACAAAGATTTATTGATAATTTTCGTGTATTCAAGAAGATTGAAGGTTTGAGTCTGATGATTGCCTTCTAAAGTCGCACTTTTTTACAGTTTGTAGAAAAACAAAAAGAAACTATTTATTAAAAAGTGATTGTATTATATTTTGATGATCTTCTCAACTCTTCGTTGAGAAGATAGAGTTAAAGTGATTCCAAGCGCTTTTCCTTCATAGGTTACAGTAAAATTTGTGTGAGAATCAGAGAATGCAACTTTGTACATAGAATTTTTAAGTTCTATGTTCTAGTATTGACAATATTTGAAAGATTGATGCTAGAGTAGTTAAAGTCCACCTGAGGACTGTTGAACTGGCAGAAATTTGGGTTCTTCTCGAAAATCTGGGTGAAAAGCTATCCGTGAAAAGCTTTCAAATTCCTGAACCGTTCCTTTTTACAGGCATTTTTCAGTTCCTCCTTGTTTTTGATAGCTTTCCCCCCGTTCTCTGATCAAAAAACTGATAATGGATAGATGTAAACAGAAGATTTGAAGTTAGGCCATTCTTTTCTTTTTAATTCATCCGATTTGGCTATTCGAATTTAGCCTATTCCTAGGTGCAAAAAAGACGAATGGTGGAGTTGGAAGGGAAAGAGATTTGTCCTTCACATCTCCTCCAGATAATGCAATATGGAAAATATGGTTTTATAAAAATGCTTCAGCATTACAATTGATATTCTAGGTAATGCCAAAGTTGGAATATTTCAAATCTAATTTCTTTTTATATTTATTTCTACTCGAACAGTTCTTCTTTTGTTCGTTCACCTGATGCTTGTATTTGGAGGCTTCCAACACGTAATTTATTCAATTTTCTTTCAAAATTATTAACATTTTAGCAAAAATACAGCCGAATCTGAGGTGAATTGATCCTAGGAATTTGGGCATGGTGGCCTAGATACCATAATTCGTTACAGTTAGTAGATTTAAAAGTTACCGGTTGTTACTACCTTGACTACCGTAAATTACCGTAAATACTGTAATAGTACCCCACCCCTTCCGTACAGTCGCGTAGTCGTAAAAGTTTTTTAGTATTTCAAGCTTTTTCAAAGCGTCCGTACTTTCAAAAATGCGTCTTTGGTATCAAAAAATAGCTGAAATTCAGGGCTATTTTTTGATACCTAAGCGAGCCTTGTAGCACAAACCAGGGTCGAGAAAAACTCGTTCAAAGCTAGACTACGCAACGCTCCGCACCGTCATTATGGGGGTGGGGTACTATTACAGCATTTACGGTAGGTTAACTTGGCTCTCCCCTAGCTCTGATTTAGCTTATAAGCACTGAGATCTAGCTGGAGATACCTGCTCAGAAGCTAGCCTTCTCCTGGCTCAATTTGGCCCACACCACAAAAGCACTGGATCGGCGTTGGCTCTCTGACCTAGACCTCTGACCTGCTTTAGAGCTGGCATCGCTTACAGACTCTATTGTATTGTAGCAGAGCCCGCATTGTAGCATAAACCAGTGTCGAGAAAAACTCGTTCAAAGCTAGACTACGCAACACTCCGCATCGTCATTATGGGGGGTGGGGTACTATTACAGTATTTACGGTAGGTAGGAATTATGCAATTTGAGAAATGCAAAAATCTATAAAAGACTAAAGCTATGATACTTTAGATGGGTTACGGTAGCTGGAGCATTGTCCATTTTTTCCAATTGCCCATTTTTTCCTCACCTCCATTGAAAAGCCGAAATTTATATCTATTTTGGTGAACTGCAAAAACGTTTCTGCCATGTTTCTGCTCTCTAAAGAAGCTCGCTGTGTGTACGGTATCAAGAACAGGATTTAGAAAACAGAAAATCAAGTTTTTTATGTCATCCTTTTTTAGCTTCTGGTTCTGGTTTAGGCTTTGGTTTATTTTGATTCCTCGCAAAGAAGACTTTCTCGTTGTAGACGTAAGATGTGAGTTTATTGAGGCGAGCTTTTGGAATCTGAGTTTAAATGTTTAAATTGTCTATTTATTAAGCGGTACCTTTAGTTTGAGAATCGATGAAACGGCGACGAAATATGGGCGTGAAGTTGTCAAGACGACAAGCGAGGTGATCCCGGAATGGGTATTCGAGAGGATTGATAGACACGGGATTGCTAAAGTTTGCGTTGCAGATTGTGCTTTATTGTACTCAGTTGACGTTTAGATTTGATAGAAACGAGAGACAAGAGGAGTACAGTTTTGTTTTCGAAAGTTATTTCATAGTTGAAGCCCAATTCCCCAGTTTCTCCTCACCATATTTTTCCACCTGTGCCACCCAAGACCAGCCGAAAACGACAAGAATGATTTGAGCGAAAATATAGGAAATGTAAGGGATGGCGAAAGTGATGACATCAGTGAGAAACTGAAAAAAAACATTTCTTAATTAGTTTTACGTCTGCGTTCTACAGCTTGTACTCAAAATTTAATAAATTTCTTCTTTAAACTATCAATCGCTTAAATTTTTGGAATAGTAAGAAAGCGATTGTAATTTTTCTTTGCTTACAATGTTTGAATTTGAAACTGGATTGGGTAACTGAACCATTTCGAATCAAAACGAATTGGGTAAGTTAATCAAAGGCTTTGAACTTTTGGTGTACCAGATGGCCAATGATTACGGGTGTTCTTCTCGGTCAATGGCTTACGAAGTGAACTCTTAAACTCTAATTAAACTTACACAAATCAAACTATTGTAACAAACCCCAAAACTAGAAAAACGATGCCTAGAAACTACAAAATGACGAAATGTCAGACTACAAACATGCCATTTTGTTTTTGACGGTGAGTTTTGTTTCGTACTCTTGTACTGTTTATGTTATTACTGCACAAATTTATTACCATTCGAAAGCTCTTGAGTTTCGCTATCTTTTAGGTAAAAAAATTTACAGAGAAATGTTTGACGGGAAGAAAGTTACGACTGTTTGTAGTTTATAGACGCTCATGCTCAAAACCCATCACGAGACCTTTCTTTGAAAAGGTTTCACCTGCAGAGCGAAGACTCGAAAAGTGTGTGCTTGCATTCGAATGGTTTTCTTTGAGAGAAATGGCTGTGGAGTATTGAGAAGATAGGTAATAATGATCATTTGAAGAATCATTATACAAATAACACCACCAAATTGATAAAGACCGAGAATGAAGAAGAAAGTCCAGAAGGGTTTCAATGGGTCAACGATGAGCACACTGCTTATCCACATTTGGGGAACCTCATCAGGGAAACGGGAGATCTGGAAAAATTGGCTATGAATGGCTGTGACTTGCTATGATACTTTAGCTGGGTTCATGTTAGCTCTGGGCTGGTTTACAGGCTTTAAGCCATATTGCCTGGCTTTATCTAAAAGCCTGGCTGCCTGACTTCTAAAATCCACTGTTAATAGCCATTTTGTTTAAGGTTTGGTTTCAATCAAGTTTCAAGCTAATCCTTTTGTTCAAGCTAATCCTTCAAGCTACTCCTTCAAGCTACTCCTTCAAGCTACTCCTTCAAGCTAATCCTAATCAAACTCAGCTACTCAACTTCTTCACTCACCATCAATTGTGAATATTTCTCGAAATCCGTCGACCAGACATAAAAGAGAAAAGTGACCCCAACCGGTATCAGACCGTAAAAAGAACCGATGTACAGCAAAAAGACGAATTTCAGCTTTGCTCGATAAGCGATCGGGAGAAGAGAATACAATTTAGCGGTAAAAGCGATCACTAATGCACCGCTTTGAAGGCACATCAAAATGTAGAAGAAAATCTGCAATAAAGCATCTTGAAAAGAGCTCAAATTGCTTTTTTTTTCACCATAAACACATATGTTCCATAAGTTGAGAGGCGAAAAAATCCGATGAGATAAACCCCAGAAAGAGAATTGATGAAAATTGGACCGAAGAGGGCGGTGACGACATCGAAAATGGTGATCGTGATCTGAAAAATGACTTTTTACTACTCATTTCTACTAATTTTCAATAAAATCTATCCACCAGATTGAGTTTCAAAAGAAAAAAAACGCGCCAGAACAAGGTTAGACATATAGAAAGTACCTGGAGAAGCTAGACCCCCAGCAAGATCTTGCAGATCTAAGTCTAGCTATATTTTGCTAGTTGAATGTTGCAAAGTTATTTGGGTTGTAACCAAAATCTAGTCCCTTGCTTGATTACAAGCTGTATCTGGACTTGGATACATGCCAGACCTAGCTCTGGGCTGATTAGACATGGCTTAAAGGTCCAAAGACCTGGTACATCTCTGGAGATTGTACCTAGATCTGGGTCCAGGCTTGGACCTGGCTTCTGGCCGGGTCTGGCTTGGTCTGATCTGGTCCGATCCGCTTACAGGTCCTAATTGTCAGATGCAGTTGGACAGGCCAATCCTTTTATGGGTTAGGAATCGTCGCCGTCGGGATTCGAACCCGCAACCTCTCGCTTAAACCGCTTTACGAACCGAATGAACTACAACGATACGTTCTCATTAGCACCAGGATAGGGCCTTACTTCTTACTATTTGGGACATCCTTATATAAATAAAAGCTTAGAAATAAGCATTCATTACACTAAATATAAAATATGAAAATACACCCCTTCTGGCATACTCAAGTCTTCATTTTCTCTTATCATTTTCCCCTCACTTACCGTAATATTGATTTGAAATCTCCGATACATTTTGAAGCTTGTCGGTGAATATTTGATCACAATAAACACCGTCAAACATCCCAATAAGAGATCCACAAATCCAAGCACCAATAAAGTTACAGTCAGGAGATTTTCGTAAACAACCATGATCAAGAATTTTCAAGAAATAAGAATCTCTTCAGAGTTTTCTCCATCTCAAAAATCACCTGTCTTCACCAAAATCTTTTTTAATTATAGCTCGGTGAAAGAAAAAAAATGAATTCTTTTTGAGTTGATTATTTTTGAGAAATTGTCTAATTGCTAGATAAGTTTTTTGTGGTTTTTGATATTAAATGAAACTATTGGGTTGGGGAGAATGAGTCGGCGCCGAAAATGAAAAAAATGTCTAAAACTTCAATTCGACTTCGTCAAATAATTGCTTTGATACTCATAGAATGGTTAACTAATTCTCTACAAAATCACATTTAAAAGAAAATTCAAACAGCGCCTCCGCTCAAGAAAAAGCCATTTTTTCACAAAAACTACAAACTGTGATCTAGAAAAAACCATTGGTGGGATCTTCCTGCAAATTTGGCAACTTAAGTAATTCAATGTGCTCTATCTTTTTTATATAAACACCAAAGAAGATTTATGTGAAAGAAACTGTTCAAATGATGAGTCGGACTCTTTGCCATTTTAACCAGCTGCGTTTGGAAGTTCATAAACTCCACGAAAGAAAAGCTTTGTGGAATCTCTCAAAAGTGATTTTGTAGAGAAATAGTGGATCCTTTTGATGAAACCAAACGTATGTTTAAAGAAGGCTTTATGTGTCCAAAAAGTCCCTTTAAAGTTTGGCGCCGACTCATTCTCTCCAACCCAATAAAAAATTACGTATTTTGATGCTTATTGCAGTAAAATAGATAGTTATTAAGTTTTGAACACTTTTTTCGCTACATGCAAACTTTTTTTCAGAGTACTGACTTTGGTAGGTGCTTTCAAGCATACCCCAGCTACCATAATCCATTTTGAATCTCTTATAGCATAGATTCATCCTTATATTATAGGCTTTTGCGTTAAGTTGCTTGCTGTAAAGATAATGTAAAAGTGTTAATCAATTTATCACCGCCAAAATGAGAACAAGACGATGAAATTGATGATGTTCATTAGTTGGAAGAAGAATTGGAGAACGAAAGTACGAGAACAGAGATAGCGACGCACTTTTTCGCTCCAAAATCTAAATTGAGGGAATCTCTGGTTTAATTTTTGATAAAAGTGTGTTACTCTAATTAATGCACTTGCTAAAAGACCTCTTTAAAAGCTATCGTAGTCAACCCGCTAGCTTTCAAGTTGGAACTCAAGCAGCTCAAAAACTCGAAAAAACAAAAAGTCGCGCGCATCCGGGACTCGAACCCACCACCTTCCGCTTCCCGCACAACCGTGCTAACCATTACACCACAACGCATCTGGTCTGCCTCGCTCCAAAGCGAGTTAAGTTTCATTCAATCCCCCCGTTTTGGTTTGATTCGATGAGATATCACAAGGCTCAATCATGAAAAAATTGAGCTGATCGAATGTTAACTGACTAGGGTACTTTCTAAAACGGTATGTGCTTTAGAAAATGCATTAGAAGAACCATTTTTGATCTAAGAATCCACTTTTCTCTCGATCTCGGTTGAGGACTCGAAACAATCACAACAACCGCACAACCAAGGGCAATAATTCCAATTGAAATAATCACATAAAAACCTAAAAGATGAGAGATTTCAGAGACAAATTTCTCAACTCACCTAACAACGGAAAAGTCGCATTCTTGGGTATTTCTTGAGCCATCATATCGAGCAAGAGAGTCATCGACATCATTGATGTCAACCCGATACTCAGCTAGAATTTTTGAAAATTTACTTTCTACTAGAATCGAAACACACCCTTTCTTGGGCTCATTTGCTAGTCGAAGAATTTAGTGCACCAGAAAGGGTGCGTCTACATTTTTAAACATAAAGTATACCTTTGTAAGCTTTTCCTCTTTAATATGCGCATTCCAAAACATTCCGACGATTGAAAGAAGAGTGAGCATGAAACAAGGGAGAACGATCACGTAGATGTAGAAATGCGGGCGACGCTTCAAACGCAATGTGAATTTGATCTGAAAATCACGATTTCTGAAGTCAGCACTGATTCTTTAGCTCATATATTTAAATAAGAAAAACGGTAGCCGGATTTTGTAGCTGGATAAACGGTAGCCAGTTTTTGTGGCTGGATAAACGGTAGCCGATTTTTGTAGCTGGATAAACGGTAGCTGGATTTCGTTTTAAAAAGCACTCCACATAATGGTTGAGGGGTGCGCTTTCGAAAACTATCCTAGTCTTGCCATTTTCTGCCTTTTTTTAACTTTCGATATCATTTGGGAGCTCAACAAAACCAAACCAAAGCCGTTATGGCCGACTGAATCAGAGTCGAAAGCGAAAGGGTTCAATCCCGGACTAGATTATTGTTTCTTTTTTCCATATATAGATATATATCTGGGTTTTTTTTCTTCCCTACATTTAGGGCTGAGGTACTTGTGTATTGTTTGCACCAAATTATTTGCGTGGATAAATCTTTTCTTTTAAGTAACTAGATTTGATAGAAACTAGACGGCAAAACCAAGGTTATGGTAGCTTTCAAAGAAAACCTTTTATAGCTAATAACTTCTTTCAATTCACTCACATATTCATATTCTTGTTCTTTGGCATTGTAACTCGAGTAAATCTTCTTTGATGGCTTAATATCCAGGACTTCCCATTCACCATTTCCCTAAAGAAAATAAGCTTTTAATGTTAGGAATATCATAATAAATCACATCATAAATTGAGTCATCCAAATGGGAAGCCGTTTCACCAGTTGCGGTCACGAAATCACTTCCATACGTCTCCACCGAGAAACCGATCTCACATTTTTGCGTGTCAAAGGGAAAAACTCGAACCTGTGAATGGATTTTTAACTTCAAATGTACTTCGTATAAATAGTTAAGACAAATTCTGGCTTGAAATTTGTCCGTGAAATGAAATGGCTATACCAGATGCTGGCAATAAAAGTCCTTAGATTTTGCTTCTGAACAAGTAGCTTGATTTAGCCCAGTTTATAAAGGGATTTCAATATTGATGGGAACCAGTAGATTACTAAATTTAGAGCTCATTTTGTACAATTTTAATGCTAAAAAGGAAACACACTTATCAATACGCCCAACGTTAACAACTTTACGTTACTTTTCTTTCAAAATTATTGCCTTTTTCGTTGTTGCTTGCCTAGAAATACCTGTGGAAAGCGCCTACTTTTGTTTTGATAAATTGATTTTGATAAATTGAGTTTGTCAAAAACTCTCGTTAAGCTTTCTTGGAAGAATCAAAACCGAAATGTGATTCTAAAATTTTTAATTGTCTCGTAGATTCGAAAACTGTTAAATAGTGAAGACTCTTAAACAAGGACAACTGGAGTCTGACTCCTTTTGGTGAAATTTCGTGATCGAATCGATGAATTTTTGGAAGATCAAATTTAGTAAACTGTAAAAAGAGGAAAGTCGAGTTTATTCCAACTCTTATCCAACGCTTTCTTAACGAATTTTTTTCATAAACCAATTTCGAAACCGCTAAACGACTTGCGAGCTTAAAACCTCTTATAAATATTGAAAGAACACCACTGGCATCAACTCAACCCACATTCATTTGACATGAGGCTCGTGTGTTCCCAGAGAAATAGTAGGCGACGGTTCCATTTGACGATAGTCGGACAGTTCGCTGCACTTCCGGATTGATGATGATGAATTCTTGACTGGAAAGTGTTTCCATAAAAATTCCCCCTTTTACTTTAACCGAAATTTTCTAATAACTCTATCTTACTCGAACTCTGACACAAAAGTTCGTACTTTATTTTGTAGCGAATCTTTTCTTCAAAGTATTAACATTTCCAAGTGAATCCAGCACCCTCCTCCTTCTTGTTTTCACTCACGTATCAGAGATGACATTCTCGGGAAACCAAACAGTGTCATATTTCAGCCATATCGTGTCCAATCCCGAATATTCTGCCGGATTCCATTGAAGTCGAAGATCTGGCCATTTCTGGAAGATCATCAAAATGAATAGTTTGAATTTCTTAAACTCACATAGCTGAATTCCACAAGTGCAGTCATGAGCTGAGCCTGAGCATCCTGAAAATGTTTTTACAGTTTTTACATAAATAAAAGCTTTCATGACTTACAAGTTGAACAAGTCGGAAGTAGACAAAAGTGATTTGGACAGGGAATCGTGGAACTGGATCTGAAAATGTGTGGAAATGAAAAAAAAGAGATTAGCTCACAAGCGCCAAGTTCAATTTTAAATTATTAAGTGTTATATAAATGAAAAGCTAATGGAAAATTATATCCAATAGCCTTGTTGGCTGTGACATCTACTGTTCTAATTGAGCTCTTGGGAGAGGAAAGACTTGGCTTTTGATCCACGAATTTTTTAGGCTTTTTTTTGTTTACAGGGCTTTTTTTGCCATTAAGGGCCATTAAGGCCTTTTTTGTTGACAGGCTGCGGCAAAGCTAAGCCTTACCAGACCTACCAGACCTACCAGACCTCTAGAATTTCATTTCATTTAAAACAACGATCCTACCGGTCACATTGAGCGCTTTGATAGTGAAAATAGGCGAAATCTCTTTTCGATATCCACCATTAACGAATTTGTCATTGAATAGACGAGATGTCACATCGAAGTAGGTCTTGTAAGAATCTGAAAGAGAAATTGAAAATCGATTTTTGTTCAGCAACTAAGTGATTTAATTGGGATTCAAGCTAAGCAATTTGTCAGCTTTTTCGAGCTCGAATAGACACTCTACCATCTTAACTACCGTAATCCTGGTTACCCTAATCCTTGACAGATCTTTTTAGAGCTTTACGTCTCTTATCTTTAAGTCAGTTTGTTCGGAAATTCTTCCGATAAAAATCTATTTCTCTCGTAATCCTCCTATTTTGTCTTTGAAATCTTCCCACGATTTCCCTAGCCAAAACATAGACATTTCTAAAACATTTCCCCCTCAACTTTTCGATATATACAGGGTGCGGCAGAATTATAGGTGCATGACATAAAGACGGAAAACGAGCCTTCGCTCTTGATTTTGCACTCGAATTTATGTTTTTGTTGTTATTTTATGATTGAATTTGTATTTGTAAATTATAATTTTTTATAACTTTGAGTTTCAGGCTATGGTTCGCGCTTCCCCGCATCGACAATTGATCGTGGAACTTCATCGGAAGGGCGAATCGGCGACCGTGATCGGAAGAAAGTTGGGAGTGCATCGAAACGTTGTTAACCGAGCCATTCAACGCTACAACGAGTTGGGATCAATGTCTGATCGGCCGCGAGGAGGTGTTCGTCCATCTGTGGTGACGAAAGGCAACATCAAGAAGGTCAGGGATCGCCTGCGAAAGAAGCCCAATCAGTCCGCTCGAAGAATTGCCAAAAATATGGGTGTATCCGATCGATCAATCCGTCGAATTATCAAGGACAAGCTCAAGTTCAAGCCCTACAAGAAGAACAAATCCGCTCTGCTTTCGGCAGACGCCAAATTGAAGAGAAAAGATCGATGTGCAAGCCTTCGTCTTCGTTTCAACGGAATCGACCACAGGAACATTTTGTTCACCGATGAGAAAATTTTTACGATTGAAGGAATTCTGAACAAGCAGCACGATCGAGTTTGGTCGAAAACTCAACCAAATGTTACCGTCGGTCGCAGCGGCCACCCAGCTTCAGTCATGGTTTTTGGCGGTGTGACGGCTTCCGGCAAGACACCACTGATTTTTGTGCCACAAGGAGTCAAAGTTAATGCGAACACGTACTTGGATATGCTAAAGAAAGAACTTGTTCCCTGGGCTCAAAATCACTTCCAAAATCGCATCTGGACCTTCCAGCAAGATGGTGCTCCCGCTCACAAAGCCAAGATTGTTCAGGATTTCTGCAAAGCGACTTTTCCCGACTTCATTGCATTCAACGAGTGGCCCCCAAGCTCCCCAGACCTCAATCCATTGGATTTCTCGGTCTGGTCTGTTCTTGAAGCCGAGGCCTGTCAGAAACCTCACAAAAACCTCGAAAGTTTGAAGAAATCTCTCTTGAAAGCCTGGGAGGGTCTGGACGCCGCCTACTTGGTCGCCACGGTCGACGCCTTTCCCAAGCGACTCAAGTCTTGCATCGACGCCAAAGGAGGAAGATTCGAATATGATCAATAAAAGTTGTTAATTTAAGTTCAATAAATATGTTAAAACTGTTTTTGTGGCAAATTTTTCGTTTTTTGGTCATATTCCAATGGAACTTCTCTGCACCTATAATTCTGCCGCACCCTGTACACCCTCCGGTGCTTTAATAAATAATTTTCTACCTTGAACCAAGGGATTTGGAGACAGCCTACACCCAACACAGTTGATATTACTTTATTAAAAGTATCAACTACTTGAGTTACTTCCTCTTTCTTCCTTTCTTTCTTCCTTTCTTTCTCTTCCTTGCCTTTACTATTTCTTTATTTCTTCTTGGGCAAAGAAGGCGCCATTAGCTCAGCGGTTAGTTCAGCGCCATTAGCCATTAGCTCTGCCCGGTAAGTAGAAGATCGACGGTGCAACTCCCCTTGGTTCCAAATTCTTTCCCATTCATTTCTTTACTTTATTATTGTAACTAGGTTAGAGACGGTAGCTGACTATAAGTGATGCCTCGAATCGGAGTCTTTTGGAAAGAGTCTCTAGACAGAAAAAGTCAGACAACTTTACAAAACATTAAAATCTTGTTAGCAAACTTTCACAAAACCTGTCAACCGAAATTCGTCAAGCAAATCCGCAGTGACACCGACCCGAAAAATCGTGAAAAAAAGTGAAATTTCGGTGATCATTCAATTGAAAAAACTTTAAGAATCATTGAGGATTCCCTCTAAAAACAAATAAATTATCGCTTTTTCTAAAAACAAATAAATTATCGTTAAAAGAAAGTCAATTCTTGCAATTTTCTGATTTCAAGTATGGAAATGAATAAGGAAATTTTCAATGGGTAACTTGATCCTTTTTCGTCTTTCGCCAAAGCAAATGGGTAAACATTTTCAAAAGAAAAATCTAAAAAGGTTCTTTGAAATTGTTTAGTTTTTGATTTCTTTTTTGGAAGAGTAGGAGATTTTTGAGCTCAGAAAATTAGAGAGCAAAGTTCAGGATTCATTGAAGCATTGAATAGCTTTACAAACAAAACAAACTTTACATGATTTCAACACATTGAATATCAAGTCCACCAGATTTTCTTTAAACATTAAGGATTAAGATAGATGCTAGTTGTTGATGGACACTTGTTCTCTGCAAACATTCTAGCCTATCGGATTTCTTGCATCTATTATGAAAGATTGTTTTTATTGGTTTGACCAGCATGGAAACTTTTTGCTCATAAAAAATGAAGAAGTGAGAATCGATTTCTAACTTCAAAGAGTTATCTTTAAACATTAAGGATTAAGATACCGTAAATACTGTAATAGTACCCTACCCCCATAATGACGGTGCGAAGTGTTGCGTAGTCTAGCTTTGGACGCGTTTTTCTCGACACTAGTTTATGCTACAATGCGCGCTTAGGTATCAAAAAATAGCTCTGAATTTCAGCTATTTTTTGATACCAAAGACACATTTTTTGAAAGTACAGGCGCTTTGAAAAAAATGAAATACTAAAAAACTTTTGCGACTACGCGACTGTACGTGGGGGGTGAGGTACTATTACAGTATTTACGGTGGATGCTAGTTATTGATGGACACTTGTTCTCTGCAAACATTCTAGCCTATCGGATTTCTTGCATCTATTATGAAAGATTGTTTTTATTGGTTTGACCAGCATGGAAACTTTTTGCTCATAAAAAATGAAGAAGTGAGAATCGATTTCTAACTTCAAAGAGTTATCTAATAAAGAAAATGATCTGGATTTGAATTCAATTTTTTAGAGTTACTCATAAACAATCAGAGAAGCCTTGATTAACGTTTGAAATTGTTCTGAAATTGAATCAAACATTCTATATTCAATAACCTTTCCAGAAAGCTTTTCTGCTTATCTTTTTTTAATATCTTTAATAATACCTTTAATATAAAGATGAGATAAGCAAAAAAAGCTTCGAACCGTTTGCTAATTTGACACAAATCAAAACAAAATCGAGTAAACATTAAAAAAACTTCTCCTACCATTTCCATTGTTCTCTCAACTCGTTGAAATAAACCGAATTCGCTTGTCTCTCCAAAGAGATCAGACTTTGCGTGGAATTCTGGCGCCCTTGCTCGGTTTTTTGGAGAATTCCGTACAAAATCCATGGTGCGATTGCAGTGAAATACATTGGAATCTGAAAATTTGTCATGCAAAGATTGATTCCAATTTTGGTACTCACAAAGAAAAAGCCGGACGCTGCAGAGAAATATGGTTCGGCGAGATTGGTCAAGAGTCGGCGATAGTAGATGGCGACGAAGTTGAAAATGAGGAAACAAAAGGAATGGAAAATGCTGGAGATTGGGGGTTAAGGATTTTTGGGATTAACAAGTTACCTATAAGGTAAAAATAAATACATCGTTTGGACGAGTTGTCGCCTCATTAAGTTCACCGAAATGTTGTAGGAGCGGGTTCTTCTGAACAAGGAATGAATTTTTCAGGGTTTTAGTAGCTATAGAAGCTATAGAAGCTATAGAAG